TCGAGTAAAGAGCCTTCACAAGGTTTATGTACTTCTGAGGTACGCCTTTCAATGACAGACACTGCCACAGAATCTCGCGGTCTACGGAATCAAATGCTGCTTTTAAGTCAAGAAAGACCACCATTGTCGGACGCCGATAAGTATGCCTGTGTTTTAGAACCTGACGAATGGTGAATATGTGGTCGATGCAGCCACGACCAGGTCTGAAGTCAGCTTGATTCTCTCGTGTTTGCAGTTCACGAGTCTTAGTTAAGCGTCTGATAATTCTCGAGGCTAGTATTTTAGATACTATATTAGTTAAACTAATCCCTCTATGGTTGTCACAGGACGATTTTAACCCTCTCTTATATATTGGGACGATAAGTGATTGTGACCAGTCAGATGGAATAACGTCTAACTCCCAGATCTTAGCTAAAATATTAGTCAACCTAATCGCTAAAATTGGTCCACCATCCTTAAAGACCTCTGGAGCCAATCCTTTTTGTGACAGTGAAACCCTTCGTGGAGGAGCGTAAGCCACCGACCAGGATTCTCCAGCCAACTGTCCTGGGCAATATTTTCCAGGTGCTTCTAATCGCTATCCATTCTTTTGATTTGAGATTCCCATCCTATAAGTGTTCTTCGTGCTTCTTTGGACAGCCTCAGTGCAACTTCTTGTGTGAGTCATTTTCTTCATGATCAGAGTACAACAGCCCGACCGTTGTTGCTACCTTGACGTGGTGGTCGGGCTTGCCTATCGTGATGAAGCAACCGATCCCAGTGTGGTCATTCACTTGACCTCACCTCGACAAAACGGAGAGCCAACGAGATACACCCTCCGTGTATCTGGTGACCCGATGGCCAGTTCTCGTGGACTGGCAGGTGTACTCGTAGCAGGTAACTTATGCACATATAGGTAGTTTAAACCAAACAAAAAGGCATTTAGGTGGGTATTTTAGTATTCCGACACAGCGAACAGATAATGGTGATCGTCTGCTGCAACTGTGCTCAGACAATCGTTTATTTTTAGCAAACACAAATTTTAAGCATAAGGAGAGACATCGTCTAACATGGCGACCCCCTACACCAAACCAACGATGGACTCAAATAGACCATATTGCCATCAGTCATCGTTGGAGAGGGTCGGTAGAAGATTGTCGCTCATTCTGGAGTACCTGCTTGGACTCCGACCATGCCCTAATACGGGCACGCATCTGCTTGCGCCTCACTGGACGCAAAAAAGCCACATTAAAAAGACCCATTAGAACTGAATTGAGTAACGAGAAAACCAAAAGTAGGTTCCAGGAACAACTGAGGTCACACTTAGGTAGTTCTGAAAACGAGGCTGACCCAGATGTTGCTTGGAAGGACATACAAGCAGCTGTGGAAACAGCAGTGACATCTATTAGTGACTTAAACCACAGAGTTACAAAGAACCAGTGGATTTCTTCAAGGTCTATTGCACTGATGGATTCTCGCAAACTCGTCCCATCAGGTTCTGAACACGATGAAGAGCGATAACAAATCAGATCTAGGTTAAGAAAAAGTCTAAGAAACGACCGTGAGCAGTGGTGGGCAACGAAAGCAAAAGAGATGGAAAAGGCGGCGACTATAGGGAACACAAGACAGCTTTACAGACTAATAAAAGAAACTGGAATTAATAAGTCAAGTGTAAGTGAGATTATTTCGGAAAAAGATGACTCTCATCTGCTCCCAGTCCAGACGTTTAGAACGATGGGCGGAACATTTCAGAGAACAGTTCAGCTGGCCTTCAGCTACTCTACAACTACCCTCCATTCCCAGACAGTGTGAATGGAACATTGAAGTAGGTCCCCAACTCTAGCTGAAGTTCAAAAGGCTATAGTTAATCTGAAACGAGGAAGGGCAGCTGGTCCAGATGGATTGGCTCCAGAGGTCTTTAAGGATGGTGGTCCAATTTTAGCGATTAGGTTGACTAATATTTTAGCTAAGATCTGGGAGTTAGACGTTATTCCATCTGACTGGTCACAATCACTTATCGTCCCAATATATAAGAAAGGGTCAAAATCATCCTGTGACAACCACAGAGGGATTAGTTTAACTAATATAGTATCTAAAATACTAGCCTCGATAATTATCAGACGCCTAACTAAGACTCGTGAACTGCAAACACGAGAGAATCAAGCTGGCTTCAGACCTGGTCGTGGCTGCATCGACCACATATTCACCATTCGTCAGGTTCTAGAACACAGGCATACTTATCGGCGTCCGACAATGGTGGTCTTTCTTGACTTAAAAGCAGCATTTGACTCTGTAGACCGCGAGATTCTGTGGCAGTGTCTGTCATTGAAAGGCGTACCTCAGAAGTACATAAACCTTGTGAAGGCTCTTTACTCGAACACTACTAGTCGAGTCAGAGCTTATGGCGAACTGTCATCTACTTTTGCAACCTCAAGTGGTGTCCGTCAAGGCTGTCCACTTTCTCCATTTTTGTTTAACTTCATCATAGACCTACTGATGGAAATAACATTCTCGTCGACTGAATTCTCGGGTATTGATCTCCTTCCAGGAGGTCCACTTATCGACTTAGAATACGCAGATGACATAGTCCTGTTTGGTGAAGACGCTGATAAAATGCAGAGTCTTTTTGTAGCACTAAGCAACAATGCCAGAATGTTTGGAATGCGCTTCTCTCCCTCTAAATGCAAGTTGTTGCTTCAGGACTGGTCTGCGTCAACACCTGAACTAAGGATAGGGAGTGAAGTAGTCGAACGCGTTGACAACTTCACTTATCTTGGAAGTCTGATCAGCCCTAATGGGTTGGTGTCTGACGAAATCTCAGCACGGATTCGAAAAGCTCGTTTGGCTTTTGCCAACTTACGTCACCTATGGCGAAGGCGAGATATCCGTCTATCAATAAAAGGACGAGTATACTGCGCGGCAGTCCGTTCTGTTTCAATTTACGGCAGCGAAACATGGCCATTAAGAGTAGAAGACACTCGTAAGCTACTAGTATTTGACCACAGATGCCTTAGAAATATTGCTGGCATCTGCTGGGATCACCGGGTAAGTAATAGTGAGGTTAGACGCAGGGTATTAGGGAAGGACGGTAAATCAGTTGATGAGGTTGTGAATCTTCATCGACTGAGATGGTTGGGCCACGTGTTACGTATGCCCGAACACCGATTACCACGACGTGCAATGCTGACTAGTGTATGGGATGGTTGGAAGAAAGTTAGGGGCGGTCAAACCAAAACGTGGCATCAGTGCTTGAAGTCACTAACTTCTAGTCTGAGCCATGTTGGTAGATGCAGACTACTTGGTTGGGGTCCGCGTGACTATCGTAACCAATGGTTGGAGACTCTGGGTGACATGATCCAGAATCGATCACAATGGCGTAGGTGTATACACTCTCTGTCTTCCCTTGAATTAAGAGATTAAAATTGCTTTATATCTTTCTTTCTACGAACTAATTCTTTCTTCTTGTACTATATCCTTATATGCAATCTTTCTTTTATTTATAACCATCTCTGAATTAACTACTTTCATGAATCCGGTGTTCATCTTGTTGTGTTAATGAGGTATGGCAACTTAGACCGACGCATATATGTGCCTGGTCCTACGTTGTAGCTGACTGACTGGAGAGTACAACAGCATTTTTCCTAAAACTAATCTTTTCTGTCCAGATTGGGTCCAACGGGTTTTACCTAATCTAAGAACAGTCAAGTTGTATCCTCTTGTTACCGCAGCTATTCGGTCGGTCCCCCCCAGTCTACTACATTGTCCGGACATCCCATGTACCTATACTAATTGTCGCTCTGGTCGTTAGAAGGGACGTCTGCCTCGTGAATTCCGAAGAATCTCGACTTTCACTATGAGGCGTCATAACTGTTTTAAGTGAATATCCTTCAACTCCCAGAACGGAGTTCAAATGGCTTAAATGACTCTTTCTGGTTAGAGTTTTTAATAATGTTGTTTTCTATGGGATTAAGTTTCTGAACCCATACCCAACCCTTCTCTTCTATCCGAGTTAGAAAGCGACAGTAACTGTAGAAGGGCTACAAATGGAGTTATTTAAGTTTCAGCCAAACCTTTTTGTGTGAGTGATGATGATAGTTCACAATTTTTAATTCAGAATAATTGGGGCTATGTTCAGACCTCTAAGTTAACATTTAGGAATGAAGCGCCATAACCTTCAAGATTACTCAGCAAAAAATTTAGATAAATGTGGATAATCAATTATAAAGTGCAAGCGGATACAAATAAAAAGTTATTAGTTACATTAGCTAATAACTTGACGTAATCAATAATAAACGAAATGGAAAACTGAAGACTAGCAAAGTGACTTATTGAGAAGATAAAATGATTGTGGCATTATAGTAAGTACTCAACGGCTATCTGAAGTGATAAAACACTACTTTATTGCAATGAACCAATGTTCCACTTTCTCCATGTTCATAAAGGAATAAAACTAAAACCATACAGATTAATTATAATATATATATTAAAAAGAAAAAACAATTGGTGGTACAACCATGACTAAACAAAATAATGTAAGTGAACTAATTACATCACATGACTCTAATGTGTAAAAAGAGATCATCTAAATCAATAAGATCATACGTATGATATTTTTGAGAAGAAATTCAGATTTTAAATTTACTGTTTTTTTCTCCATATCTATTTTGGGAGTCATGGTTTGTAATGTTTAACAAACCTGAAGTAAACTGTGATTCTTCCTGTAATTATACGGTTAGCAATAAATGTACATAAGAGTCAGTTTTATATTAGCTTAAATAATAAAGCTCGCATATGATGATATCGGTATTTGAAACTGTGCCACTAAATAATGCAGAGTCGGATATCATTGTGAGTAATTTTCTACAAAACAAAAGTATAAAAATTAGCCAATCAATCCATAAACGAATCTAATCCAGAACTTCAAGATATTTCTTTAATCAACACTAAGGGCATAACATCAAGACGTTTTACAATATTCAATATTGATTGAGTCACATGACAATATAGATTAAAAAACCTACTCATCTAAGTCCAGTGAGTTATGTCTGTCATTAGTCCTGAAAACATCGATAGAATTCGGAAGAACATTCGAGTTCGTATTTAGATCGTTATTGAATGAGAAAACACCAAGAGATTCATTTGTCTGTTGACTAAAACTTGATTCATTCATATAACCATGAGTTTCTTTAGCCGACTCAGTTGAATCAGTCAGATCCGTGGGACTAATTGATTCAGAAATGCTTGTTGCTTCAACAGCAATTTCAACATCTAATTTGTTTTGCCCACTAAACTCATCAATATATCCAGTATATGATGTGGAATCTTTGTCGCTTGTCTAGATGAATTGAGAGGAATAGCAGAAAAAATACATATGTAAAAAATTATTACATAATGTGTCAAAAACTAATATGCTACTGATTTATATGATTAGTTTGATAATAGTCGAATTAACCATCAAAATGTTACTTGCTAAGTGCGGATTGGGTTTTTTTTTACCGATGCTTATTTACAGCACAAATCACTAAATACAACAAGAGGATATATATATATATATATATATATATATATATATATATATATATATATATATATATATATATATATATATATAAAGAGGGAGGAAGAGAGAGCATTAAACGTTTAATCATTTGATAACCTACATGTGAGGATGGTGAATGCACATTCGCTTCTCCAGACTGCCGAGTACCCATACTAATAGTTCTCATTGCTTCATCTAAACCACTAATATCACCATCTTTGTCAGTGAAAAACTTGATTGTTCCGACAGAATCCCAGTCGTGTCTACTTGAGCTACCACGAATGTTTAAACCAGGCAGCTTTGGTTTTTTCGCACTCCTAAACATAAAAAGGTATAGTTAGAAAGACATTGGTTAGTAACAACCTAGTGTTAAAAAATATGTGATTTTCGATGGAGCCGAAAATCGATCAGGGACTAAGAAGTCCCTTAAGACAGTGACTTCGTCAAGTTATTTTAATCATTATGGTGACGCTAAATACGGAGTTCAATGACTGCTTCGGCTTGGGCACCCGGGCAGTATCCCAGCCCTCACACAAATCAAATGAGATTTGTGTGGCGCATATGTAACTGGTGCCCCCTCGTACCAGTAATTGTGTTCAAATAAATAAATAAATGACTGTAAATATGAATAATAACAACTAAGTAAATTTTTACCGGAGCATCTGACGAAGATTTTAGATTGGGAAATATGAAGTGAATGTTTCAGGAGAAAAAACTAAACTACAAATACTCTTTGTCAGCAAAGTGAGATATGTGATGTGAATAACAGGGTCAAAAATACATGTGTTGAGAGTTTTAGGTTAAAAATGCTGAGAACAATGTGATGTATGCAACCCAAGTTCAAAAGTTGTGCGTCGCAAAATGACGAGGTATGTGTTTTAGTCTTTAGTGTGGATCGGACTTTAGTAGTGAAGAGACACAATGTTGGTGCAAAGCGAAGCAAGAAATTCCTTGACTTACCTTTGGTGTTCGTTGTCGCTTACTACAACACTTTTGTGGACACTTGAATCTGTCCTTAAACCATACAGGTAACGTTGGACAGAACAACTTAAGCTACATTTAAGCCGAATACGTTTGGTTGAAATAACAAATTTATACACAATCTAATCATTGTTTTTGAGTTACCCCACTTAATTTGTTGGAAGTAGTGCTTTGCTCCCAAATGCCCTGGTACGGCCGAGAGTGTGGTGAGTCTGCCCTCCCTCTCGAAATGCTCTCACACGGCCACGCGTATACAGCCTCTGTCAGGGAAGTCCTACTCACTGCCTTCTTGTGACATTAGTGTTGTTTACGAAAATGAGAGGACGAAAAGCGAATGTCCGGTGCTTTAACCGGATTCCAAACCAATGGTGCACATGGGCTCCATTATCCTGCAGGAACAAATGGTGTATGAACCAATCGTTGGTCACCGGCTACCATGGGACTGCATCTCCTCACGATGCTCCACTGCCTTGTGGGTCAGACCTTCAGGTCAAATGCTCGGGGTGTGGCCCTCTAAGAGAACCACCTGCTTCGGTCTGGGTACCCGGGCAGTATCACAGCCCACATACGAATAAAATGAAAATGACGATATTTACTGAGAATTCTATTCACGCTTCGATTAACAGTCAAACAATTCACATTATTATTATTTACCATGTCACTTATTCACTCTCTTATATTCCCACTCTATGGTGGAAACTCGGTTCTATCTAAACGTTCTCGAGTCACTGCCTGGTTGAAAATTGTATGTTACCACAGAATACGAATACTGAACCAGTTTTTATGAAACCACGTGCGCCATTCAAACTGGCTGCCTTCAACCTTCGCACACTTATGCAGGTTGGACAACAAATAGGGCTGGCTATGTCTTTAGAAAGTCTTAATATCGATGTTCGCTGTCTATCCGAGACCCGTATTCAAGACTCTGGTGAAGTACTACAAATTTGCTCTGCATCTGTCGATTCAAAAAGCTTGTCTCACGTGCGTCTATACGGGGACTATATGACATCTTCGTCTGGTCTTGCTGGCGTTGGTGTCGCACTAAGCGCTAGATCTGAGGCAGCACTAATCGATTGGATCCCCATTAACAGTCAGTTATGTGCTGTTAGAGTAGAGAGTTCCATCAAAGTGAGAAGAAATCGGCGTGAGAAACGATGTCTTTTCATCATCTCCGCCTATGCCCCGACAAATTGCAGCCCGGATGCAATCAAGGATGAGTTTTACCACCAGTTATCTGTTCTTCTCCAGAAAGTGCGTTCGACAGATATTGTAGTAGTAGCCGGAGATTTGAATGCTCAGGACGGGCATCTAAGCACAGAAGAGAGTCGTTTAGGTGGCCGATGGGGACTTGTTGGTCGCAGGACAGATAACGGCGACCGTCTACTGCAACTGTGCGCAAACCACAACCTGTTTCTGGTTAGCACTAACTTTCGGCAGTTATCGCCGATGTGCCAGCTGGCGTCCTCCCTCTGAATATTAAGCCTGGACTCAGATTGATCACATCGCGATCAGCTACCGCTAGTGTGGTTGTGTACAAGACTGCCGCTCCTTTTGGAGTACCTATCTCGACTCTGAACATGCCCTGATCTGCGCCGACCTTACCTTACTTTTCAGTGGCCAACGAAATGACTGCCACCAACGGATTGATGTAAGTTGGTTGCAACTTCTGTTGCTAGTGAGTATCGAATCGAGCTAGCTACTAGGCTAGCTACCATTCCACCGAAAATTATAGATGAGCATTGATTGCAAATTCACGACGCCATGAAAATGGCGAGTAAAGCCGCTTGCAGCTTCGCGGAACGTCCCGCCTATAAGCACTGGGTTTCTTCAGGCTCCTAACAACTCCTCGAAGCCCGTCGGTCTACTCCGGGTGACTGTGAGTTTGACCACAAAAGAAGGCTGTTGCGTAACGAAATCGGGCAAAGCTTGCGTAAAGTGCTTGTAACTTCCTTGACTGAGAGAATTCCTCTGGTTGTACCTTTTCGATTCCCCTATTATTATTATTATTATTATTATTATTATTATTATTATTATTACGCTACCACACACTAAGCTGTGGTCATTATTGTTTTTTTTATACGCACTTTACCTTCTTTTTCTCTTCCCATTCGCATTGTTTTGTGTGGTGCATAATTAATAAGAAGTAACCTCCAACATTGCAGTTGGATGCAGTCAAAGATGATTTTTACCACCAGCTAAATGATTTTGTCATCGAAGCGCATCTAATAGGTATTGCAGTGCTAGTTGACAATTAACCCTTGACGTAGGTTTTGAGTTACTCAATACTCGTAAACAATTTGTATCGTAATATTCAGGTAAATGGAGCTGGTTGAAGGACTCAAGTAAGTCAGACCATTGATCTTGCTGACGGGTGTCAAACAGCATGAAACCTAGGTTCAAGATTCCGTGTAGATTGCCTCGAAGCATCTAAAACACCAACACGGCACATGCGATGTCAAATGCTGAAACTATTGTCGACGTTGCATCTTTATATGCAAAATCCAATCAGCTGTAAAAGGACTAAACAAGTACAATATCGGTCACTACTTGGTGGTTAATCAATTGTACATTGTACTTCATTCGACAACGTGAAGATTGATTGGAAAAAGTGGGTGTGCAATTTATGACAGTTGGTCAGCCATACTCAACGTAAACCTGATACATATGTATCAGTTTAAATTACCATACCACATCAGCACACTGAGTGGCAGGAATAGTAACAGCATCAGTATTAGTAGTAGCAGTAGTAGAAAATACTAAATATCGAGAAAGATAAAGAAAAGTATAAGATTTAGGGACTCAGGTTTTAAGGGAAGAAAATAACGTCAATCCGAATCAGATAGTCCACCTGTTAATGATTTCATGGACTGATAACATGTTTCGTTTGACCGACCCTAGCTTCGTTCCAGCCTACTATACTAAACAATATCACTCTCCGAGAGTATACGTAACGCAAGTCCCAACCACATGAAATGATGAAGTTTCCCAATTACTAACATTCATTTATTTACTTGATTATACCACATCACCTTTATTTATCTCCTCAAAACTTCATTCTCTGATTAGCGTAGCTTATATTTATCTTGGATTCTGTTTCCACAAACCAATGTCGTCCAATAAAATAAATGTTTACGAATACTGTGTTAACCACCAAAGGTTATGTGAACAAGATTATAAGAATAAATACAAACTTTACTTATGAGAAGTAACAGGCGTCAAAAATCACAATATTCTACTTAAAGCCTATGGAAACCTAATGAGGAAGTTTCTCACTCTACATTCTGACCAATATCATACATTGAAAGCCTGGATTATCCCGTCATTACAGCGAATTAATTGTACTATTAAGACAGACAATATAATAAGGAAAACTGGAACCTAAAAATCAAAGCTTTCTGTGTGGTTGTAATTATTCTTACTAAAACCTTTGGGTTAAGCGATGGAGGTCGCTTTAAAAAAAACAGTATAAATAATAGTTTCGAAACGGAAACCACGGTTATGACTTCGTGTTGTTGACTATAGATCTTACTTCATTTTAAGGATGGGCGGCTATAACGATGACGAAAAAGACACGTTCGAAAATACGATTCTAGTCAGCGTTACAAATAGACCCCATAAATAACTACAGTTGTCATCAATGGTTTGTTTCGTAGTTACCACTCAGAAAGAATGCATAAGTCTACATAAAATACTTCTTGTAAAAAAGCAGATTACCACCTGTTGAGTTACCTTTATTTTCTTCCTATGATTGACTGACCGCTTTTAGAAAAATTGACCTCAAGAGAAAGATTTACATAAAGAACTAGGCATTTGAATTAAATATTTTCCACCAACAAAGCATAGTGGTCCCAAGATAGGTTTTCCATGAGTGCATACACAAGTATATGGTATACAAAAACCTAGGGTGTTTGCCTGGCACCTAGCTATATTTATAACAAGCCAAATGCAGAAAAAATATAGACGAAGTGACAAGGAACTTTATTCAGTGTTATCAGTTCACCCTGATGAAAAGCGACAGATCCTACGTAAAATTCGGTACATCATGCTAGCGCTTTGTTTCTATTTCATCATGATTCCACATATTCTGTGCAAATATATGCTGTGTATGCGGTTGCGCTGAATAGATAGCCCACCCAGTTCCCAGCCCAGAAAACCTCTAGGCCAAATTTCGACCACGAAGCTACACATGCACCAGTCTACGATATTTGTCCGACGTACAAACACTAGCCTAGATCTAACCTGACACAAACCCATTAGCTAATAAGTATCATGTGTTAACACATGACACTACTATCCAACAGGAGCACGTGACACAGTAAAGCCTGAATTACATGATGACTTACATTTATACGTGGTAATAGTTGTCCTTTGTATATAAACAACACATCACTGTATATCTACGTTCAGACAGAACGTTCCGAACAGAGGTAACGCAGACTATGTTTGCCCCGCGCACTAATAACCTGCACCAATAGCTCTAAAACCAAAAATACTTTTCGTCGCGATCTAATTTTTTTACATTTTTGCTTAATTTATACAGTAATTGTTACCAACTACACGTTTTTGTCCAATTCCGCATCCGATTCTCTTCGTAGACTTCAAATATCACACTAGTTACGGCTCATCAGATATACCGCTTCATATATCACACCATGTTCTGCCTCATATTGCTGCGATATTAACAGCGCTTTTATATACTCGCTACACATATTTACAAACTGTGTTTTTTAACTCTGCCTGACCAATCATCCATCATCATCTTGAACAGTGTCCTTAATTTTGGGGTTATCTGTCTGCTGTCAAAACTACGGAATCATTTTTTAAGCCTATCGACCAAACAACCACCAACGAATTTCAAGTAACTCTCGTGTCATCAATACATATTACATTTCATATGCTACCAACTTATTTTTATATATTTACATCCTCATAACATGACTACTGATCGAGTATGGCTCTTCTGAGCGACTACGAACTTTTTAAGCCTTCTTATGGCTATAGGGCCTAGTGGTAGATGTTGTAAGTAGGTGGTGCTATAGGCCCCATTTTTTCGTTTGTTGGACATGATGTATGTGTAGCGGTGAATAAGTCTCCAATATAAATAGCTCTGTAGGTCGTTAGTTTGACTGGACACACCTAACTGAAGATACTGTGTCACGCGTTCGCATAAGATCACGAGTAGGTACACCATGCTAAGCATCTCTTACGACTGCTAATCAGCTTAGACCAAACGCTTCTCGACATACTGATAGCTTTTAGTTCTGACTGGGTTGGTACACTTCGATTATAAATGTGTTGCGCGTCAATGCATTGTCAAAATCCAATTACCTACGGCAACTTTATATGCTTTTCGTCCAGCATTATTTGTTTAGTTTTGGTTTAGTTTCTTTTTTGATGCTGCGGCTGACCAAAGTATGCCAATTCATGCTATGTTTATATCTATGATACCATTTCGTGTGGATTTTAGTTAATTCTCTCTGTGTGTGCACTTCAACTGGCTTGTGAATGATTATCAGGCAAACGAAAATTGGGAAAAACCGGTGTGATTGAAGGCAAAACGCACTCGCAACACTGGTGACTAGCAGCCATCATCTTGTTGAAGGAATCCATGATTGTTTCTGTTCTTAATCTATGGTGAAATAAGATTCGAAGGCAACGCGCTACTTATTGTTTTCATTTTCTGTTCTTTAAATGGTCTGACTCGACGAAATTATACGGTACGATGCAAATGATCACGTTTAATACAACCTACAACCCTTTTTTTATAAGTTGAGTGCAGGTATTACACATTTCGTTACGCAAACATCGTAAGCCTTACGGTTTATTTTTATTTCCACTCAGTGCTTCGAAAAGTTAGTTTTTAAAAACATTTTCAGTATGGTGTGTAACCTGTTCCATGAAGATGCATTATTTAATCGTCAATAGTTGAGTTACATCACATCTTTAAAGTCTTCGTGTGGTATGTAAGATCGGTAGCAGATGGTTTGTGCGTAAATTTCGCGTTTCTGAAGTTGTTTGGAAGATTTTAAAGTTATATTGTTCTATTAATTCTATGTTGTATGCATACTAAGCCATGGTGAAAAGAATGAAGAATTAAATACACCTCACTTGAAATGAAATAAACAACACAATTGTAGAGGCAGAAGGCAACTTAGGGTCATTTCAAATAACAACAACTCCAATGGAATTACAGACTCAGCGAGGCGAAACGCAGAACGAAACGTGCCATGAATTGATGCTGAAATTAGCCACACTCCTTCATTAGCACGAGGATTTTATTGGTCGCCAAGACGAATGGTGGAATAACTGTGATACGATCACATTCATCAGGTTTTCAGTACGACGTGTTATGAATTTTTATCTGGAGACTCCATATACAGCAAACCATAGAATTAATTGCACAAATCACAAACTAAACAGGTCATTTTTACGTTGAAACTTTATGTAAGTGCGTTGAATTAAGATAAATGCTAAACAATTATAGGGCTATCTGGAGATATAATGACAAGGTAAAGAATAAGTGTACATATGATTGGTATATATATATATGTATATATTAGTAAAAAGTAGTAGAATTGTCAGTCGCAAAGGACATGAATAAATGATTTTAAGAAGTATAACGAAACCATTGCGATGAACGATTGTGGGAATCTGAGAAGCAAAGTCACTGAAAGGTTTCATATGCTTCATTCAAACGACTAACGACAGTAATGTATGAATCTGGTGGTAAGGATTCTAATAAAATAACCTGATAATCATTCAGTCCATCTGGACAAATAACAATTGCTAAAGGTCCAATTATCTCAAAGTTTTATTGAGATGGATATGATAATGTACTTCTAGCATTATTTGTTTGGTTCAAACATTCACCAAACATTCTTCCTTCTCTAGGCACCCAAAACTGCATTCGTGTAAGCGGTTTCTAACAAACACAAGAGCGAGCTCACCACTTTGCACATGAATTAATAAGATGTATTTGCATGAGTAGTTGCGTGTTTTAAAAACTCTACTTTAAATGCCTCCCTGTGTATAAATCTGTGATTTTTCCCATTAACAAGACAGACGCGTTATGAATGTGCACTTTAAACATGGATCGTTCAAGAAAAGCAGTGTCCTTAAAGCTCACTTACTAATTTTAGTCTGCAGCCAGTGGCCAAAGGAATTTTCTGTCATTTGACGAGTCCGTTGTACTGATCGCCAGGCTCTACTATGTTACAATAACTGGTTGGTGTCCATTCGACCAACACTACATTTTAAAAACATTACGCTAAACCGAAACAATAGGGAAAACAAACAAAAAACGACTTCATGCTCCATGTAGTGTCCCACGGATGTGATTAATAGGTTGCAGTCACTGGGTACAAACTTTCTAACCGCTATTCTGAAATGCAATGAAAAACATAGATCAAGTCAGAAGTACCTGATTATTTCAAAAATTATAATTCCCTAAAATCGTATGATCCTATTGGTGGAATAAACTTACCGTGATTTTTCCTGCATCACCTGAACGTTCAAGGACTCCCACGATAGCGCTAGGTCGAAGTTCATCGTCATTTTACATCGCACTTTAAACCGGGATATTGTCAGCATAACATTTATTCCAGTAAATATCTGGAACCTAACGGTAACCGCAGATTTTTCCTTTGTATTAATAATTTATAAAACTAGTTTAAAGCCAGCAGATATAAAGTTATGCTGACACTCGTTATAAGACCTGATAATTCACATATAAAGGCTTGTTATTTGTGCAAATAAATTAATCAGTGATGCATTTTACAATACATTTTTCGACGGTTAAGACTTTTTTAGTTGACTTAAATGTAGTTTAAGGGTGTATATGTGTTTTTCTTCCCCTGACATGTTTAATTTTACTCTTGATTGTAGGATATTTGGAGGAAATGTCAGTGCTGTAAATTTATCAACACATCTGGGTAATTTATGTCGTAAACATTTGGCGTTGATATTTCCAACTCCTTGTAGATAAATAGCATATAATAACTAAACTAACGATGATGGAATATCATTATGAATATGGAAATGGATGTTTATACTTTACTCGTTGTTTAGGATGGGTCCTCGACTATGACAGGCAGTTATCACGTTACAAAAAGCTTACGCCATGAATGTAAGTTGCTCGCTTTATTTTTACCTCTATTGTGTAACTAGACAAAATCAGGAAAAGTAAATAACGCTTCATCGTCACGGGTTTTTCGTGTCTTTGAGTACCTCTCGTTCTACTGACATAGGATAATAGACTGGCGGCGAGCGTATCTTTATTTAGACCATGGGAACGCAAGGTTAACTTTTCAAACGCAAAGATTTTCAACGTTCAACATAAAATGACAGGGGATATATTCCCTACAAAAAATAAGCTAGCGAATGAATACTTGAGTCATAATTTTCTGAGATTTACTTAAATATTATTAACCACTCAACCTAAGTTGCTACAGAGTAACGGTTAACCTGTCAGACGTTCTCAGTTGTTGCTGAATGACGTATAGCTGAGGGATGAAGAAAATTTGGGAGGATTTTTAAGATACGATCTGGTTCTGTTCAGCTAACTTCCAAACAAAAGCACAAATGGGAGTGGACCGAATCGAACTTAACGCGCAGACAAGCTTTTATAAGAGCTCGTAGGATTTATTAGTGCTACCTAATAATATTCCTGTAACATCCATTTTGAATGTTTTGTGCGTTTTTGAAAATCCCTCCATGTATATACTTGCACTTTGTTCCTGTTGATCCCCTTAGTTGTACATTGTTGTCTTTTGATTATATTTGAATTGTTAACACTTGTATTTTTTATTATAGTTTTTGTTTTTCTTACGCATTCACTAAGTTTGTGTTTCTTCCCGAACTGCATCTGTGTTGCTTTACTGGACACTTGTTCCTGGCGGTAGCCATATTGATTTGCTCCTCCTTTTGCGTGTTCTATCCAGTCAGGATAGAATAACGTTCATTTGTTGTGACTGTTAATTTTCCCTCATCTTTCATCAACTACTTTATTTGTTGTAATTTAGATTTTATTGATTGAACAATTATTGGTTGAATAGCCGGGTGGTAATATTTGTTTAGGTAACGATTTGCATTTAAATTTATGATGAATTATAGAACCGCTATTTACCCGATTACTTGTTTTGATTTCGACGGGCGAAGGCGCGTGTCTAACGTACCTGGGCGGCTATTCATCTATCCAAACCGTAGTTTGGATTCTACATTCCTAATCCTATAACTGTAGATTTGCCATGATGTAGCTACATAATCTATGAGATCATACGCGGCAGTAACATCATTGTCTACACTGACTCATTTTATTATGACGATCAGCGAAATGACGTCTAGTATTTCTGACTAACACATTTGAGCTGGGAGCAGATTAATATATTTGATACAAAGCGTAAGATGCTGTGAAGAATAACCGCCCTTGCATGAACGAAACAT